ATCTGAAATAAAATAAATGGTTTCAAACGTTATGGTGTTATATATATACCAACTTATCTACTTGTCTGCACTACCTCTTTATTGTCAAACATAATATTTACCCATCAATTTTTGCATGATAATTGCATTTCATTTTCATTCTGTTTAATATTCAACAAGTTGAACAGATAATCCACCCTAACCCCGCTACTTGGTATCGGTATCGGTATCGGTATCGGCGAGTACCCAAACTCAAGTACTCGCATTTGTACTCAGTCTTGAAAAAACTGGTATCGGGACACCCCTAGTTATATTACTGGCTGTGGTCTGATGACGAGGGCATTCGCAAGCATGCCGAACTTCCTGATTCAGTTCTGTTTGTTTGTCGCTCATAATTAAACCTTATTTAATCATCACAAACGCAGACTTCTCTGGTAATATTCCAACGTGTTTCTGCTTTTTGCGACGACAATGCAAAAAAAGTGCATTTAGCATGATGTCTCCTTTAAAAGCCGAGTTTGTGTCAATCCTGCCAARAGGAGTGGTCAAATATCCAGGCAGAGTGATGACAAACACTTCATTATGGAAACAAAAAGCATCTTGTCAAAGTGAAAACAGCTACGGGACATTTGACTAAATATAAGTGAGGGTGTATGCATGATTTATAGACCCTCTATGCATTAGAAAAACCCACAATATATTCAAAGTTGTGCACCAAGTTCTTGTTACTGAAAACAATCAAAGTTTATGTTGTGTTCTTGTTCCATCCGCAAAAACAACAGAATGACAAATGTGTGTAAACTTGTAACCGCGGCGGTGTTTCCACAGCAGCTCACTTCAAAATATAATAAATCTTACTGTGAGTCAGAGGTGATTTTATCTTATTTTTTCCCGTCGGCCCGCGCTCCATCCTGTTACCTTGGTTTCCTGTGTGTTAGGAAGCGGTGAGTTCAGAAACTCCTCGGTCAGTCTCATCCAGCTTCCTGCCTTACTCAGGTCTGAGTGGACCATCAGTTTTTCATAGATACTGGAAAACAACAGAAAAAAATGAGACAAAAAAACACTTAGTGACATTTAACATACTGATCAAGTGGAAGTGGAAGCAGTGATCTATGATGGGTAAAATATTTCCAGCTTAAAAGACAGAACTGAACATTTCATTCACCTCTCTTATTGACATAAATGTCAACCACAGATTCATTTAAATACATTTAACTAAAGTTGACCGAAATATTTTAAAAGTTAGCCTAATAAGTTTAGAAAACGTGACCCATCACATCAAACAGAGGGTTAAGTCTCAAAGTGTTGTGTGGAGAAGTAGGCAGCTGTATTGGTTAAAAACTTGATTTTGAGCAGAAACACCTTCAATTTTTGTCATTTTCTCTGCGAGCTTGCAAAGCTTTTTTGTCTTGCAGTAGGTACATCTTAAAGTGCCTGTGACGTCAAATTTTTGTACTGCATATGAATGCATTTTTGGAAAGATGACTGATAAAATATTGCAAAAGAAATTTCATGTCACTGAGATGAACAGTTGTTGAGATATTTGCATGTGAAGTAACAGGAAGTGATGTCAAAGGAGAATGTCTGAATGTAAACAGAGCGTTGCTACAACGGCTAACACAGAATGTAGAGAAGAATCTGATGTTTCTTCAGATTTTTTTAAGTCACTATCAGAGAATTGAAGAAGAGTGAGAGCTCAAATAATGTTTCAATAAACAAAGACCAGAGAGTTCCCTTTTGATGTCACTTCCTGTTTCACTTTGGCTGAGCCAAGTTCAAAATAAAATATGCCAGTTATGTGACAACATGAGTAAAATTGTGTGTATTATGAAAAGTTTCTTTAATATAWATATGTTTTTTCTGACTTCTTGTATTTGAAAAATATGCATGTCACAGGCTCTTTAATRTGCATAATGTTTGAGATTTATAATAGTATGAACAATTCATAATTACAATAACCTAAAGGTAGGACAGTTTTTATATATATTCTTGGGAAAAAGGGGCAGATATAAGATTTTTTCTTCTTTCTGCTGCCTTTCATTTTATTTTATTTGCATATTTCTTCTTCTATTGTATTTAGTTG